TAAACAAATATGAAGCATCACATGTTGAGCAAGACCATGAATTAAAAAAAAGGACAATTTATTGAATGTTTTTCTATGTTTTCGCCATCACCACTCATGGATGTTGTCTGAATTTACATACATGAGAAGATTACTATTAAAATGTTCGCTCTTTATTGGTGTCGCAATTCAAGTTTATCCATAGTGCGTTTGCAGATTGGTTGAATCGTCCTTTTATTGTTAACTGAGTTCTTATTAATTTTGCTCTAAAAATTTACAATTAAAAAGGATTTATAAATGTGATTTCAGTCTGAAACTGATTTCTAGTGACGGTTATAATTTTTTAAAACTGTTATAAATTATTATTGAAGAGAGCTAGACAGCCATGTATATTTGGTCAAAGAGCCAGATGTGGCTCGCGAGCCATAAGTTCCCTACCACTGCTGTAGCTAATGAATAAATAATATTTACTTAACGGTGGGTAATAACAGTGACCTTAGCTGTTTTTACATTTCGTCACCTTGGAATTATAAGGTTCTCTCCGAGTTCTGAATGATTTTAAGATATTGAGCTTCAAAGTTTTTGCATTTCATAGCAGACAGTATGTGTTTAACTTTCGTGTTTTAAATAAAAAGTCTTAAAATGTAAACAACTTATAAAAAAACATCCCATAATGTAAATATGTTGTCATTTAATAAGAATATGTCAATAACTAAATGTCAGAGAGAACCTTATAATTCTAAGGTGACGATTTGTATTCCAGCCAAACTGAAAGAAATAAGAAGGTTAGAAAAGAAAAATATAATATGAAATTCTGTGAAAAAAATGTCCTTGCTCTGTTAAACATCACTAAGAAAACATTAAATGATAATTAAAACTTCGTCTTCGGCTGTGAATTTGTTGAAAAGGACAAATGTGAGACTTTCAGTTAATGATCGTCATCATTGTGCATGATAAAGTGGGTGATGCAATAAGCAAACACCTCAAAACCTTGCAGAAATGGCACGGAAATGCAGTAGCAACCAATCGGCAGTGCTCTGAAAACACCCTAGCGACAGTGGGTTTAGTGGGATTTTCACAGGCGCTCAGTCTTGAGAAGTGTAAAACTGCAGCTCACTCACACTTCACCCACAAAACACAAGCTGCATTCACATATAAATCCAAAATATCCACATAATTCTGCATCATTTAAGTCTCTATGATGTTGTTAATGAACTGACCAGTGTATAGATTTAAGGGGGACCTATTATGCATTTTTATAAGAGGGTTAAGCACAGTTGTGCGGCAATAGTGTGTAAAAATAAGCAGCTTCTAATGGTAAAAATGTATTAATTAAATTTTTCAATAATCACACTTGATAGAGTCCGTCTGCAGAAACACTTTGATTGACATTCTCTCTTTGTACGTGTCATCAGAGGGGGAAAGCCCCACCCACTAGTGACCATCTCTCTTTCATTAGCATATACAGCCCTGAGTGAGAAGCAGCCGTTCGCCATTAGAGTTTTATTCTGCTTAAGATAATGTCAGTGACTTATGGGATTATAAATCAGACCCCTGATTTTTCATGATTTTTAAAATCTTTTTTACCATATTAGGTAGCCTACTATCTTAGGTGTGCAATCCCACACAATGACAAAGACAGAAATCATAAAAATAGATCTTCTTTATTTTAGTCTCTTGTAAAGACAAGATCTAAAACAGATCTAAAATGGTAGAGATTAAGCCAAAGGAAGGATGTAGGTTGAAGATTGGTACTTTCTCTTTCCCAGATTTTCCTGTGACATCATGTACTTCACTCAAGACATGTGTTAGGGCTTCCCCTACCCTATCTAAAACACAGATTGTCATAAAACTTGTCAATGGAAACGTTTTCTCTTGTCAACGCCAGGGAAAGAGTTAAGCGAAATCATTTATCAAGTTGACACACATCATAATAGGCTATCAGCCATACATGCCAGGGCTCGAAATTAACCTTTTTTTTTATAGCACCGGTGCTCTTAACTTTAAAAATTTAGGATCACCAGACAAAATTTAGTTGCGTCCACCAAAAGTTATGAGCACCGTTACTACACATTTTATATTAACAGATTTATTGCATTTGAAATCAACAAATCAACTAACAAACAAAAAAATCTGCATGCGCTCACCGGCCCTGCACACACTGCTTGACGTAAATGAGATGAACTGAATTAACAATAATAACTGTGCTATTCTCACGGGTGCTGTCTGATATTGCACAGGTGATAATGACATATAACTTATTATTTGCATATGTCATCTTAATATATAACGGTCTTTTCATGAGCAGCAATATTAGTTTCATCTCAGTGAATGCATGCTCTTTAGCAATGGTGAATGCAGTATCAGTCGCACAACTGACAGCATCGTGACGATTAAATGAAGGATTAAATATCGTTAGAACATCTCGTGCTTAAAATTTGTAGATTCAGTGGCAAACCTGAAAACTCCGTCCCACCAGCCTTACAGTGAATGCTTCAGTCATATTCACAGTGGACTTTAACCACTGGAAGTCTTTTATCCACTCATCGAAAAAGTGTAAATGCTGGATTGACATTCATTACAAGATCACTAATCAGATGTGCCATTATTTGTAACTTTAGGTGGTTTCTAAAACTAAATCTGTCTGTTGTTTTCATTCTCTCGTATCCAGATCTTTACGTTTTCGTGGCTGTAGCTCCCTGTCATCTAAACTGAGTGATTGACAGCTGATATTAACCAATCCATTCGAGTTCTGTTCTAGCACAGTGGGCCAATAAGAAGAGCTTGAAGGCGGGGCAAGCATTGCAGGCTTTGTTTACTGCAGCAAGTTGACATGTCAACTGTTTTAAACCATTTCTGAGTGCTGCTTTTGCCGTTTTTAGGTGCAAAGATGCTTAATGCGTGAATGCCTCCTAATTCAGCACATGTGGTGAACATTTTGCTGTGAAAACTGGTCGCACGACATCAATTTTATGCACTCACACAAATGCTCCCAAATATATTTTGAGGTCGGATAAATAAAATTTCGGATGCATTTGCGACCAAAACGGTCGCAATTTCGAGCCCTGCATGTTAAGCACAAATATTGTTCTTCAATTCAGTCATGTCCAGCAGCCGTCATCCTTGAACCAATCTCCATCATTGTAAGCTGCTTGCTTTTTTTGTCTGTTCCATTGCTCCGCTTGTTAGATGTTTGCTCCAACTTTCTTTTGCAGTCTGCAGCATGTGAAATGCACAAAACGCCCAATTCGTGCCGTATCATTCATTCGGTCTGCGCTACAGGATGTCTAATCACATCTTTGCATAGACTTCACATGTAAATCATAAGGGTGTCACGATCCTCCAAATCCTCGATTCGATTACATTTTCGATTCTAAAGGCACGATTCAATTTGATTATGAATAATTAATTAATTAATGACCAATTAATTATTTGTAGCCTACCGTTTAAACTACCTGACCTGCGTGGTCTTTGTTTTACCCCTAAAAAAATCATACAGTAAATGAATAAAGGCAAGATACACACATAATTACCACCTGTCAATCACTTTTTCTGCGGGACTCGTGAATAGGCAGTGATCTGTGTCGTTATAATGGCTACGGTAAAAAAAGACGCACAACCAACAGGAACCAGCCAACAGTATCTGAGGTGTTCGCTAAAATGACTAAGTACAAGTGAGTGAAAGATTGAAGCAGTCTACTGATCCTCTGACTGCCTGGACCTGCTGTCTCGAGCGCATGGCTGTGTGTGCGTCTGTGTCTGTGTGGTCACGTGATGTGCATTTTTTTCAGAAGTAGAGAGGAAGGAGGGCTGCTCAGAAATGCTACACGCCACTGTGGATGTCAAATCATTGTCGTTCTAAAATAACATTTAAAAACAAAGACAGTGTAAACAGGGCCTGAGTGTGAACTTTTCGCGAGCGGATTTGCAACAGGGGTGGGCGGAGGATCGCGATGCCTGTGTTGTCTATCGGAAGAACCGTACGTAATACGTACATAGCAGAGCTTGCAAAACTGTGTTTTTTTTGTCGACAACACGAACGTTGTCAACATAACTCACTGGAAATCCAAAATGCTTACACACCCGCGACTTCATTGAAAGAGGAGAGGGTTTAAGTTCTGTCGATGGGTCTCCTGCTTCTGCAGTTTAACAAGCACTTCAAAAGCATTTTTTTCCTGCTTGGCAAGCCAAGCTGACGTGACATGGGGGCGTGGCAGCATCGACGATTCTATTTTTTGATTCGATAATCGAAATTGAGCATAAATTTCGATCAATTTCGATTAAAAATCAAAATCGTGACACCCCTAGTAAATCACTAGCGCTGCACCTGAATCTGCTTACTGCACATGCTGCAAAACAATTCTCCCCACATCCATGTAATGTAATGATCGTGAGGGCGCAGGTAATGCAATGTCTGCAAGCCATGTAAAACAATTAATTGTGATGTGATTATATGGTTTAGAATTGGATGATTTAAGAAATTATTTATATTTTTTGTGAATATTTTGTGTTAAAATTATATTTTATATAAAATCGTGAAAAACTAGGGGGTCGGATAAAAGTGGAGTTTTAGATGCAGAATGAACAGCGACAGGAGTCTCTATAGACTGGTCCATTCTGAGACACAGACGCACTCATTTTCAGGTTTTTACACAGATAACAATTCTCCTATTTTGAATCTGCCACTATGCTGACACACATGCATTTGTAGCTCCGCCCTCTTTTAAAAAAAAGAACAGCCTCATTTGAATTTAAAGCGACAGTCACGAAAACTCGAAAAAAGTCTAAACGGGTCAGTTTCAGAGAGTTATAAAACATTATCTGTGTGGTATTTTGAGGTAAAACGTCACACACACAGACATCAGAGACTTATTTTACATCTTGTAAAAAGGAGTCTAATAGGTCATCTATAACTATTAGGCTTGAGTGTGTGTTTATTGGGAAATCGTATAATGTGGCGTTCATATTTCCATTGCAAACATGCAGAAAGAGTAACGCAACCTGTGTGTGTTTGTGTGCAGCACTGGGCGCGGCGTATGGCACGGCGAAGAGCGGCACCGGAATCGCCGCCATGTCTGTGATGCGTCCGGAGCTGATCATGAAGTCCATCATTCCTGTGGTCATGGCGGGAATCATAGCTATATACGGGCTGGTGGTGGCTGTGCTAATCGCTAACAGCATTTCAGACAAGATCACTCTGTACAAGTAAGTCCCGCACGCAAACACTGCTGCTGCTATTGTAGTAATCACAACTAAACTTTTTGTTATTTAAACTCTGAGATCAAATATATGTAAAACACGTAAAGGAAATCTCACTTGAAATCAAAATGTGCAATGTTTGTTTTGCTAGCTCCCATTGTTATTCTTAAAGTGAATAATTAATCCAGCAAGTTAATCCACTGAATAAACAAGTTTGTTTGTTGGTATCTTCAATGAAACTTTTGCTCATTTGCTTCTGCATTTGGAGTGGCGGGGGTAAAGTGTAGGAGGGATTCAGCTGCTGATACATCAATATAGCATAATTTTTGTGACACTACATTACTGTCATGATTGGGTTTTGGATTGGTGTTTGAGTAGACATTAATAAAATACAAATTAATGGGTAAATTAATAAATAATACTCTGTATAAATGCTGATTTGACATTACTGTGAAGGTTGGTGTAGCGATAGACATTAATACAATACAATTTAATGGGTAGTTTAATAAATAATATATATAATTCTTGTTAACTTCCAGCCACAGCTGTATCTTTTCTGGCAGCAACCTCTACCCCAACCCTAAACCCATGAAAATATGCCATAAAATAGCCATTGAATCTTATTTAGCAATAAATTATTTTTTAAATATTAATATAATGCATTATTAACACTATATAACATAATATATAACATTTAATTTTATATTTGAAAATTTACTTAAAATGTTATTTTTTCATGCATACATTTTTGTTCTTGTAATAATTTGTGATTTGTTGTATTTTTATTATATATTTTTATTATATTTATTATAATTATTTTATTATTTTTTTACCATACATTTGTTTATTACTTTTTTTTTATTATATATTTTAATTTTAATGCTGGCTATTTTATTATTATTTTTTTCTGTTTTTAAAATTTGTTTATTTAATGATTCATTTTGTTTTTAATTATAATTTTGTATGTTATTAATTATTGTAATTGTTTTATTTTTAATATCGACATTTGTTGATTTATTTGATGATTTATGTCTGGTTGTCAAATGATTCATGATTAATTTTATTATTGTATAATAACTTATCATTTTTATTTTTTTTATCATATTTAATCTTTGTTTCATGATTCATGATAGATATTTTTTATCTTACTAATTATTATAATAAATATATTTTTAAATATTTTTTTCTGTTTGTTTAATGATTCACTTTATTTTAATTATATTTTTAAATAACTATTATAAATGTTTTTTTATATTCATTTCTTTATTTGCTTATTTAATATTTCATGATTCATTATATAGATATTTTATTTTAATAAGTATCATTACATTTTGCATATTTATTTTGAATATATATATTTTTATTTAATAACTCATGATTCATATTATGTTAGATATTTTTAAATAACTATTATAATTATTTTATTTTTATATCAAATCTTTTTCTTTATTTCATGATTCATCATATATTTTTATTTTAATAATTATTATAATAATTATATATATTTTTCTGTATGTTTATGGATTCATTTTATTTTTAATTATATTTTATATAAGTATTATATAAATATCCATTTTTTTCTTTGTTTATTTAATGATTCATGATTCATTATTTTTTATTTTAAATTATTATAATTATATTTATTTTTCTTTTTTTATTTAATGATTCATTTTATTTTTTATTACATTTTTAACATTTTAACTATTACAATCATTTTATTATTTATATCAATTTTTTTTCTCCATTTGATGTTTAAATATATCTTTATATAATAAATATAATAATTTTTATATCAAATCTTTTTCTTTATTTCATGGTTCATTTTAGATATTTTTATTTTAATAATTATTATAATGACTATATTTTTTTCTGTGTTTATTGATTCTGTTCATTTTTTTCTTTGTTTATTTAATGATTCATTATTTTTTATTTTAAATTATAATTATATATTTTTTCTTTGTTTATTTATTGATTCATGATTCATTTTATTTTTAATTCTATTTTATATAATAACTAATTATATAATAATTTATATAAATTTATTTTTTTATTTAATGATTCTCGATTTATTATATAGATATTTATTATTTTAATAATTATTATAATCATTATATTTTTAAAATGACTTTTTTGTATAATTAATAATTTATGTCTTTTTGTTTGTTGTGCTTGTCAGGAGTTTTCTACATCTGGGCGCAGGCCTGAGCGTGGGTCTAAGCGGGCTGGCAGCCGGTTTCGCCATCGGGATCGTAGGCGACGCAGGCGTCCGTGGCACCGCCCAGCAGCCTCGTCTCTTCGTAGGCATGATCCTCATCCTGATCTTCGCTGAAGTCCTGGGTCTCTACGGCCTCATCGTAGCCCTAATCCTCTCAACCAAATAAACCTGCAGTCAGCATGCGCCGCTGCCGGACCATCAACAACAACAACAAAAATAACGAAATATAATAATAATAATACCTTAAACTAAAGTTAAAATTAGATAAATTGAGAAGTGGGGAAAAAATCCTGCGCATTAATACAGGCTTTGCGTTTGGTGATATCTCTGAAAGTGTACAGTCGTCCCAGTTTGATAGTTTTGATTTCTTGTAAATGCGGTATATAGTGATTTTGTCCTGTGTCTGTGAAGAAAAAAAATATATTAGCGCTGGGATTAATCGCCATTAATCGCATCTAGGATAATTGGTTTGACATAATATATGTGTGTGTGTGTGTGTTATATATATTTATATGTATAAGTGACACACACAAACATACATAAAGACAATTTTGTTGCATAGATATTTACATTTACATCATCTAAATACATCCAAAATAAACAAACATTTTCTCTAATATATCCGTGCATGTGTGTGTGTTTATATATGCATATTAAATATACACAGCGCACACGCTTAAATGATGTCACGTTTATTTCGGATGCGATTAATAATCACGATTCATTTTTTGCCCAGCACTAAAAATATATAATAATAATAACGTGATAGATCTCATTCTCTGTTTGTTCCCTCCCGCCTACGAGTCTGTTAGCCAATCACGCGTTCCCGTCACGCTCGAGAGGAAACGCATGAGCAGCGTCCTGTCTCTTCCTGTCACGTGATTTTGGGAGTTTTTTAAAAATACATCTCCACATTGGTGTCAAAGAAGTGTTTGTGTGAAAAGTGGAAAAACGCACTGATGAAATGCTGTCTGTGGAATGGAGTTTGTCCATTTTTGTTTTGTTTTCCACTGGTTTTATTTATTGAGAATAATATTGTTCATTGAAAATGTACTTGAAGCTCCTCAGATCCTTTGAATTGTTATTTATATAAACATTAATATATATATATGCAGAAATATATATAAGAATAGACCTGCACTGGCCGGGGTTGTGCAGTTGTTGGGGAGTGTTTCAGCTTGATGTGTGTATTTCTGGTTGTTTCCTGTGTAAATCTGATGTTTGGTTGTATTAAAGGTGTGCGTGTGCCCCTCGGTGGGTCTCACAAGTGTCATTTCCATATGCTTGTGTTCCCGGTGCTTTTATTTTTATCGTGTGAGTGTGTTCAGCTGTGTGTATCTACGGTTTTTAGGCTTCACCTTGATGATAATTCACTATAGTAGCGCTAATGGATTTACTGCAGCAGTTTCACCTCTTGTTTGCCTTGTAAATTGCATACATTTTCACAATATGACACTAGGTCTTGTTCATTAATGATTATGTGGATTATTTATATATTTATCGCCATTGTTATGTCAACAAATGCAAATTATTGTTTTTATTTACCTTTTTTTATTAGTTGGTTCTCACTTTGGCCCTTTAGATGATTTTTGTTCCTATTATTAAAAACTATGTGGTTTCTTATTACTTTGTGAACAAGATCCTGTTACAGGTATGCAGTAAATAGAAGTAAATATATTTATTTAAAGTAAACAAATTGTTTTCATAATGATTTTAAGTGCAATATACTAAAACAAAATCTTTTAAAAACAGCATTCTAATTAATTAATTGAATTTAAAGTGATGGTTGAACCATTAGTAAATTGGTTTAAAAAAAAAAAAAAAACAATAAAAAAAAATTTGTGGCCCAAAAGAAGAGAAAAAAAACATATCTGGCAAATCAAATAAAATAAAACACAAATCCAGAGCTGATGGTTTTAAGCTAAAACTGTTCTAAACTCAACAAACATGTGCAGTTGAAGAATAAAAAATAATTATATATATATATATATATATATATATATATATATATATATATATATATATATATAAAATAAGATCTGATTCATCTTGGATGTCCTGAAGGTAAGTAAATTAACAGCCAATTAAATTTTTTGAGTGAATTATTCAAGGAAATTTTATTAAAAATCTGAACAAGCGACCCAGTGTAAGAGGTTTAATCATTTGCATAGGACACGCCCAAGTAAAGTCCATATAAGGATTTTTCGTCAGTTGTGTTTTCGACTGGTCCAGACGAGATAATCCAGTAAAAGGTGATATCATCGAAAAAAAACTAGTAATTCTAAACAAAAAAAGTTTTAAAATGTAAAAAAGATGTCTAAATGCCATTCCAGAAGTCTATCCGAGGTATGTAATGTTTGCGTACTGTTCATTTGCCGAGATTTCACGTAACTTATGTTCATTGCTTAGTGAATGAGAACCCCATTGCTCTGTCATTTCAGCTAAAAGAGTCTTAAAACTGACCATAAATGTCTGATTAATCTTAAATGTCCTTAAGGTAAGTAAATGAACTGCAAATTTTAATTGTTAGGTAAACTGTTTATTTAAGGAAATTTAATTACTAAATCTGAACGAGCGATTTATAATTTGCACAGGACACGCCCACGTAATATCCATATAAGGGCTTTCCGCTTATTTTTCAGTTGTGTTTTCGACTGGTCCAGACCTCAGACAAGATAATCCAGTTAAGTGCGATATCACCGAACAAAACTAGTAATACTTAATAAAATAACTTTTAAAACGTAAAAAAAGATGTCTAAATGCCGTTTCAGAAGTCCAACTGAGGTAATGTTTGCTGTTCGTTTGTACAGATAGAGGTTCATGAGTAAACGCGGTTTGTGAACGAGACCGCTGTGTAACTAAAGTTACTTTCAAGCTAGGAATCTTGAAAACTGACTGACCAACAGGTTATAACATAACAGACTATTGTTATTGTGACATTTCTAAAATATTTAAAGTTCTTAGTTTCGTTTACAAATATGTTGTGAACGCTAAACCACGGTGCCTAATAAAATTTCGTTATCTACGTTATGGCAAGTTGCGGTCGGCCATGTTTGTGGACGTACAGGAGCGGTTAATTTAAACCTGTGGAAATTGCTACAAAAACAACGACCGTCTTATAGTACTATATTTTGAAAAACACCACACAAACACTCAATGAAATGGACAAACGTGTATATTCCTTTATAAATGCTTGTTGTGTGTGTCTAAAAAGCTAATAATAGGGATTCCATAACATTCAGTCTCCCACTGTAAAGCCGAGCACAGACGAAGAGGCGGCGAATCCGGACGAACGAGTTTATCCGTAACTGAGAGCGCATCAGCGAACTGCTGAAAGAAAACATCCCCATGTATGATTTTCTTTATCTCCTGTAGTACGAGCTCTTAGTTTATTGATGAGTTTATTCCCAGTGGGAATCGGGCTCACCTTGACCCAAACACCCAGAATGCACTGCGTCGCTTACGGTAGTGAAACAACACCAAAAATCATCGTCATCATGAAGGCATTTTTTACTAAACAAGATGTAAGTTGCTGCATTTTCTTATTGGCCCATATTAAAATTACTATAGTGAATATATAGTAAAATGAGTCTTTTTTTTAACCATACTGCGGTAAATTACTTGAATTGATCTGTTGTGGCGATTCTACAGTTGTAATACAACTATAGTAATATAAAACTGACCCAATATTCTAGTTTTCAACAACTATAGGGCGTATTAGTAAAATCTAAGGTATATCACAGTATATCAGCTCTCTATAGTTAATGTTACAGTATGGTGTAGCATTAAGTGTTTTAAATACTATTATGTATACAGTATGATACACTTCATGATTCAAAACTGTACTACTATAGTAATGTTTCAACATTTTACAGACATTTTTGCATATATTCATTTGATTTGTTTTATTGAAAATTTAATTATTATGAAAACATTGTATTACTTATTTAATACATATAATATTTTTCAAAATTCAGAAAGAAATACCCAACACATTTACATATACATCCTCTCCTAACACCATGAAGTCTGAGTGTATTGCGTGTTTTTCAGGCGTTCAGGCTGTTGAGCAGAGTGTTTGCGATGTGACTGATGGCTGTGAATGTGCTGCTCTCTGGAAACGCCTGCAGAAAGTCCCGTCCCTCCTCTAAACTCTCCGTCAGCAGAGGATCCAGCGGTACTGAGCCTACAGACAACAGCAGCTCATGCTTAAAATAATATGGGATGAGGCCACCACAGAATACAATTAAATAATAATACAACTAAATCAATAAATAAATCAGTAGTTAAGTATTCTTAATCTTTTTTAGATATTATTTTTTCTTAAAAAATAATAAATTATATATACTTGATAAAAAAACAATGTGGGATTTGGCCACCAGATCATAAAATAAAAAGAAATAAAAATATATAAAAAATAAAATTAATGAATGATATATATGATGAATGAATGAGATTTATATATATATATAATGTCTTTAAAATAAAGTAAAATATTTTTAGAAGTTATAAAAAATATTTAATTAAAATATAATATATTATATGTTAAATTATAAAGTCTTGAGACACCAATGATTTTTTTGATTAATAATTAATGTCAAATGTTTGACAGAAAAATAAGCATGAATTTGAATATCTTTAGTAACATGAGTTTGTACAATAATAATGCATAAGAAGTCTGAGACAAGCAGAGAAAATATAGATTTTTTATTTAATATTAGTAAAAATAAACATTCTTAATATATTTTAATTATTGCAATAAAATATAATCATTTATATTATAATTTATCATAACTTGCAAATCTGAGACACCAGTGGGAAAGCTTCTAAAATGTTTTATGATGTGATTATTAATTTATCTAAAATGCTTAACTAAAAAAAATAAGCATGAACTTGCACGTTTCATATTTTTATTGTACTTATAAAAATTAATATTTATTTTAATTATTATGAATAAATAAAATAAATATGAATTAATATGATTTAAAATGAATAAATTAAATACTATAAGGAAAATTAATAAAATAAAACATTTATCTGAAAAATACATGTCTGATATTTACATTTGACCTAGAAATATTAATTTTACACCATAAAGATATATATATATATATATATATATATATATATATATATATATATATATATATATATATATATATATATATATATATATATATATATATATTTTTTTGTATTATAATAATAAAACTTTTAGCTTTTTATGGCCTTTTATTGCTCTGATTGCAATGTGGCCCAAGACTTTTGTTCTCATAAGTCTTATAAAAGTCCCCTATGTGTCTTATATTCAAACTCGGGTAAATAAAACACAAAATGAGGTGTTGCACGTTTCATATTTTTATTATACTTATAAAAATGTATTATTTAATTTAATTATTATGAATAAAATAAATATGAATTAATATGATTTAAAATGAATAAATTAAATACTATAAAGAAAAATTATAAAATAAAACATTTTTCTGAAAAATACATGTCTGATATTTACATTTGACCTAGAAATATAAATGTTATATCATAAAGATATATATATATATATATATATATATATATATATATATATATATATATATATATATATATATATATATATATATATATATATTTTTATTGTATTATAATAATAAAACTTTTAGCTTTTTCTGGCCTTTTATTGCTCTTTGATTGCAATGTGGCCCAAGACTTTTGTTCTCTTATAAAAGTCCCTTGTGTGTCTTGTACTCAAACTCGGGTAAATAAAACACAAAGTGAGGTGATGTGCACCATCATGTGGTAAAAAGTGGAACAACAATCAATCATAACATTACCTAAAAACGCTGATCCGGTGAGCTTGGCTAACTCCTCACCGCCGCCTTTAGAGAAAATGTTACTGCACTCCTGAAAAACACACAAGCGTAATGTCCACATATGGATCAGCACAAGGTATTTACTGTGTGTTTGTGTTGTGTACTCACAGAACAGTGTGGACACACAAAGCCGCTCATGTTCTCCACGATGCCCAGGATTTTGAGGTTTGTCTTCTTGCAGAAAGTGATTTCGCGCCTCACGTCTCCTGTAGACACAGCCTGACATTGGGAAAAGTGTTTATGCATGTTATTCAGCAAACCAGAGAGATTTACAGTGTTCCAGATCAGTGTTATGACCAGTGCTGACAACAGGTTCAAATGTTTAATTTATTACATCATGTAGTGATTAATTAATCTAATTAAGTGCGTATTAAATTAGAATTATTATGAATACAATTTTATATATTAGTGCAT